GACATCAGCCACGAGCATTTGCTGCCACAATTTATTGTTTCTTCCCATACTGAGTCAGAAGGGTATGCTGCTTTTTTTTTTCCATGGCTAAATTAAACAAATCAGTCATTTCACAGAAGTTTCCAAATGAAAGCTTGTTGTAAGCAAGACCAGATATGTTCTTTTACAGATCTGGGGTTCAAAAAGAAGAAAAAAGAAAGGGAAAAAAAAAAAATAAAAGAACAAGGAAGCTTGAAAAACAGCTTACAGTTTCCTTCGGGCTAATTAGATCTTATCAGTGAAAAGGCAGATATTTCTTTCTTTAGCATGATGCCGTGGTGAAAGTTGACCTGGTGTTTATGAAAGCATATTGCACACTGCTTTTCAGCTAGAACTGTGGAGTTTTAAATTAGTGATACTCATAAAAAGCCTGATGTGAAGGTGTGTGGAGCACTGGCTTTCAAAACACACTTATGTGTATTGTTAAGGTCTCGGGAATGGAGCAATTGCAGACCTTTTGTCATTCATCTCAGATGCTGGGTTAGAATGTTATTGATAGGAACTTGTCTTGCTTTCTTTCTGACTTTCATAGAGGCAAGAAATAAGACCCCTGAGGGAAAAAACACTCTGCCCTGTCCTAACGCCTTGAAATAGTTGAACTCTGAAGTCAGTAAAGCGTGACTGGATCGCTCAGTATTGGAGCTTTAGCCACAGTGTTATCCTTGGCTTCAGCAACTTACAGCAAACTGGGGGCAAACCAGTATCTTTGAACATCAGATGGCTGCAGAGTGATGAATTTAAAGAAAAAAACATCTTGCCTACAGCTTAGCTGTGAGTGTCATCCTGAACTGTGTCTCCCTCCAGGAGATCAGCCTTCTAAACACTGGAGTGTGCTCGGGGTTGGCTGAAGGGGTGCTGTGCCCTTCTTCTGGAAAAAGCAAGTCTCTTACAAAAAAAGAGTAGCATCTGTCCCTTAGAGGTTAGAAAAGTGACATTTTAAAGGTGATGTGTGGTCTGAGTGTATCCCTGCCTCCCCAGCAGCCCTCAGCTAAGGCATGAGCAATGATTCCTGATCCCACTCAGTCCTGAGGGGATCGCGGCCTGTCCTGAAGGGATCACAGACTGAGGTGGGAAATCTGTACCTCTTCTGTCCCCTCTGAGCCTCAACACAGGGATTCTTTGGACTGGTCTCTCTCATGTGTTCCTGAGCTCTACCCTGGCTTCATACATTCTTATTGCCCTCTCTGTCTGTCTTTTGTAGATCAGGAGTTGATGAAGGCCCTGACAGATCTCAGCACTTACTGTAAATTCATTCTATTTTAATACCTAATATTCTCCTGAGGCATTTGCTTTCAAAGCAATTAGACATCTGTCAGCACCTTTGGTAGGTTGCAAGCTTTCAGATCAGTATCCTAAGGTGGAAATAGCATTCCAGCCGAAAAATCAGAACTTGCTCTTTAGGTTGGAGTTTTTCAGTGAGTAAATCTTCTTTAAGCTGATGAATGCAGCTGCTGCCTTGACAATTTGTGAGTTTATTTCCTTCTGGATATCCCCACTGGCTTGCATGTTGCTGCCAAAGAATGTGAATTGAGGCATTTTTGTCTTCCTTTTGCCTTCTCAGGCCGAGTTTGAACTGGGAGTTACAGGGGCTCTCATTAGGTCCATTTTTTTGTAACTGTTCATTAACCCTCTCTATTTTACAGTGCTGAGCAATCCTTTGATCTTTGCATGGGGGTAGATTTCCACTTTACAATGGCTGTATTGTCAGTTTAGGGCATTATGGTTAAACTCCATGAATTCTGCATGTACATTTTCCTGACAGGGACAGCACTGGCAGTGCCTGGAGGAAGGGAAAATCCACTTTTCTTTTTGTCACCTCTGTTCAACCCCTTGTCCAAGTCCCAGCTTCCCAGAGGAGGCAGCTTGCTGATGGGTTTTCCCTAGTGAATCCAGTGCTGAAAATTGTTCTGTGGATTTGCTTGCTTGCTCCATAAACATTTGGGAACAGAGAGCCTGTAGCAATACCTTTAGCTGTCCAGAGGAGGAGGGAAGGTATTTATGGGAATTTGCTGTTCAGTTGGAGTTTGATTTTTATGCCTCTTATAATGATGTCCTCTTTTCATAGTGCAGCATGAGTAAGAATTCCCCCTTTGTATGTATTTTGTATCTATTCCTATTTCCTATTGAAATTCCTGGGAAAGAGACTATCCAAGTAGAGTTGAAAATTTCGTCTTAAAATAAGCCAGATGTCCAACCTTCCTTTAGCTGCCAAGCCCTAAAGAGTTCAAGAAAGATGTTAAAATCTGTCTTCCTGGCTGTGAAAAACTAATTGCATAGCATAGGTGATGATCCCAGTCTCCCAGGAGAAGGAATAAAACTGCTCCAGGCAAAAACTCTGCTGTTATTTGTCTGAGGACTGGAGTTGGCAGTGTCTGTGGAAAAAGGTTTCATTGGTTGCCCTCCTTGCTGGTTAACAAATGCAGAGACAGGAACACAGACAAAGGTGGGTGAGTGTTTGTATGTTGGTATTTGAAAACCTGATTCACCTGATGAGAAAAATGCTGTTTTCTTTCTTTTTTTTTTCTTCTTCCCCCCCCAGTCCCCCTCTGTTAAGAGCATTTGTAAGCACAGGGAGTGCTTACAAGGCAGAGAGAGAGGTTTCAGACTCACTGTGTTCCAATCATGTGAAGGAACCCCATGGCCTGGGATGTTTTATGCCTGTGTGGTAACAGCTTTTCTGTTTGTAAAATGGATGTACAACTCGCTCCCCTTGCAAAGAGTTTGGGGAGGATTAAGGTTAGTAAAGCACTGAGAAGAGTAAAAGTGCCATTGAAATCCTGAGGATTAGAGGTTGTATTTGACCAGTGATGTGGAAGGGCCTAACAGTTGCATTTCTCAGGATAAAAACTGTTCACTTTAAATCCAGTGGCCATGCCTGGCTGGATTCCAGGCTGGTGGAAGTCACTGAGGGCACACGGTGCTGGGGAAGAGCAGAGGGACACCCAAAACTGAGGAACTGCCCAGATCTCACTGCAGAAGCTCAAGTTATGAAGGGGATTTCAATAAGGGACTTTAATAATTGCTTTTTGGAACAGCTTACTGTAGGGAATGGAAGAGAAGGGTTCATTCAGCATAATCCTAAATCCATAACTATTGTTGAGGTATTAATAGACAGTGACTAAACTTCTATGTAAATCCAACATCTGAAAATCGAAGTGCAATAATATCTGTCATAAACTAGTTGACCCTAAACTGAAATAAGAAGATTGTAAACAGAAAACCCCCACAATTATTTATTTTTTTTAAAAATAAGTTCCAAAATACATGTAGAATTTTAATATAGCACAACAGCTGCCTTCAGAATACAAAAGTTCCAGGTCCTGGAGGGGGCTGCATAGCTGGAAACATGGAGGTAAAGCTGCACCCCAGGATGACTCAGTGGCAAAGTCCACGAGGGGTCTGAGCCAGAGATTGTTCCAAATGGAGAAATTCAGTCCTAGAGAAAGGCACTGGGAGAAAAAAAATAAGAGTAAAGAGCAGTGGAGCATGGGGGAAATTTAAGAGAAGGGCAAATATAAACTTTGTGAGTTCACCAAATATAAGAAATGTGTTTAATAAACTGTCATTAATGTGAGTGACTAAAGGAGAAAATCAGAGGAAGAGCAAAGCTTTCCTGCTGTATCAGATGGTCTTTGAGAAGCAACAGGGGTTTCTTGTGATACTTCCAGAACAAAATGACCACATCCTTGCTGTACTCACCTCATGTGTTTTAACCCTTGGATACCAGTCTTACAACATCCACACTGCACACACATCCTTTGTACTTGGACTTCAGTCCAGCCTCAGTGCTGCTCATCTTCTGAGCCTCCTCAATGTTTGGCATTCTCCTTTTGAGAATTACCACTCTGAGGTGATGATGTTTTTCTGGGAGAAAGCTCCAGTGTCTTGACTTTGGTCAGAAACAGCAGAGGACAGAAAAAAAATGATCTTTTTTACATCATCCTATTGATACCTCCCGAGTGTTCCCTCACCTCCTCCTCTCCCCCATCATTTGTTTGTGTGTGGCTTTAGCAGAAACAGGAATCTTACCCAAGTCCTGCAACCCATTGTTTCTTTATGTTAAATACAAGGTTCTTTTATTAACTCCAGCTGGTGCACCTCCCTGTGCTCCCTGTGTTTGCTTTATTAAAACTGAGCAGCGTGCAAGTAGGACATTGTAAATCACAAATGACTGAGCCAGAGGAAGAGGGAGGGAGAGGGAGGGACTCCCATTGTAGGACAACAAAGAGAGCATATAAACTGCCTGGGCCTCCTGGCTAATGGCAGCCAGAACTCATGAGTGCAGTTTGCAATTGCTCCCAGGAGGACAGACAAGTGCCAGACAGTTAGCAGGGACAGATGAGAGGGAATGCTGGAATACCTGATGTGTTCTCTCTCTATGTGGAGCAGAGCTTCTCAGAGGTCTGGGCATACAGGAGCTGCCAGCCTCTGCTGTAATCCTGGATTTATCTTATAGCAGTGCCTGGCCATGGTCATCATGTCTGTGGAGGAAGCCTTGTTACACCATCCAAGTCTTGGAGAGAAATTTTAAACCAAGACAACCAGTACCACTCTGTCCCTCATGGAGAGGGAGGCGGAAGCTTCTGGTCCATAATTAAGCAGTGTACATTTTCCAGCTTTGCCTCTTCATGGCCAGTGCAGGGAATTGCATTTCTGCCTGCTTGAATCATGGGCATCCACAGGGACAGTCAGAGACAGTCCAGACAGAAAGACAACAACTTCCTTCCCTGTGCCAGCAGAGTCCCTCTGCTCAGAGCTCCCCGTGAAGGTGCAGAATCCTTCTGGACAAACCCGGCAGCCGTATGAAGGTCCCTGGCTGACACCATGACCCTGTTGTTGAGTCCCCAGCACCACAGTGAGCTGCTGGTCTGCTGCACACTCAGCTCTGGCAGTGACTTCTGTGGTGTGCAAGATGTGGAACCCTCTGCCCGGTGCGTGTCTCAGTGTCCTCTCTCCCGCAGTGCTCCTCCACCTGCGGGAAGGGGCTGCAGTCCCGGGTGGTGCAGTGCATGCACAAGGTCACGGGGCGCCACGGCAGCGAGTGCCCGGTGCTGTCCAAGCCAGCAGCCTACAGGCAGTGCCACCAGGAGGTCTGCAACGAGAGGATCAACGTCAACACCATCACCTCGCCCAGGCTCGGTGAGTTGGGGTCTTGGGGGGAAGGTGCTGCCTGGGAAGGGCCAGGCAAAGCCCGGTGTGATAAAAGTGGGGCTTCAGAGGTTGCCCAGAAATTAGGAGAGGGCACCCCCAGTCAGATTCCAGACTGAAGGTCTAGTGTGGGTGTGTCTTACCAAATCCCTGCCTTAGACTTTGCCCAAGCTGGAGCACTTGGTAGAGAGCACTGGAGAGGGCACCAGGAGCACACAAATGGTGGGTGATTGGTTGGTTGATCACAGAGGTGAGGCAGCTGACAGGTGTACCTTCCTCCTTCACAAACACCTCCACACTCGTCCTGTGCTGTGAGTGTGAACTGTGATCATTTATTCATCGGTGCCCCAAGGGAACTACATGACCTTGTAAGGTAGAGCACCAGTGTTTGGGTTTTTTTTCCTTTCATCTGCTGCCACGTGAATGTGGTTTGATGAATTGATTTGCCCAGGGAGGCAAATCAAGCCTCTTCCTGTGATTTTCTGTTACTGTCCTTCTCCTCACCCTTCCTGCACCCCCTGTGTCCCTGGCAGAGGTGGGAATATGGTGATAACCTATCTGTTTCCTGAAACACCTTAACACTGGATTTAAAAAATGTCACTTGTTAAGGCTTCTGTTAATACAAATTTATGGGAACCCCATGATTTTCCACATCACATTTGCTCAGTTTATAAGGGGATACAAATATAAATACACTAAAAATAATATCTTTCCAAACTTCATCCCTGTGTGTTCAGCCACAGCTCCGAGAACCAAGTTGGTTTCTTTACATTTCATACATCATCACCAGTAAGATGAAGCTAAATTAATGAATCAGCTGCACTGACACAGCCACATCAGTGCCTCCCATCACATTTTGGTGCAGGAGTGTGGGTTGTAAACAATGCTGTAAGAACTTACCAGAAAGAACAACCTCCTCCCTCACAGCTGAGCTGGTCTCGTAGGCTGAGAAGCCTCTAACACACCTGAAAACACAGAGCTGCTAAATAATAGAGAACTATTTTCTAATAGCGCTGTCCAGTGTTAAATAACACTCAAACTAGGAGTGGACTTGAAGATTCTGAACTGAAATTTGTTTCCCAAAAGTTTACCAGATGTTTTTAAAAAAAAATGGGAACTATCGTTCTTGCAAATTCAGTCACACTGAGGGGCTTCTAACCCCTTTTGGTAAAGAGCATATGAGAGTACTTCCCAGATATTTTAGCACTAAGAACATAGTGGAAGGAAAACATTTCATTTGAGGAGTAAGCCCTTGATACACTGATGAGACAAGAAATCCATCCTAATTCACGTTTTAGGACAAAGCAATAAAACGCTCACGTGTTTAGAAGACTGAGGAGGCTCAAGTCCCTGCTGAAACTAATCTGCAAGTAATTTAGGAGGCTTTTGTTTCTAAACCAGGCTTGGAATCACCAGGGCCAGAAACAATGATATTTGATATTAACAGAAAGATATACCATTGAGTGTTTTGCTCTTCTTGCTTATAAGCAATTCTAATTGGATTATCTTTAAACGGGATTTTCTGTTTTCTGCAATGGAAACATCACCAAAAAAAAAAAATTACACAGAAAAAAATTCCAGTAGTCTACAAAAACCATGCTGCCTTGTCCCCATTCCAGAATGGTTCTCATCCTGGGTAACATTTGCAGAAGGATTTAAATGTGGGGGGTCACTTCACCTTTTACATCTGTGTCGCAGTGAAGATACATTCCAAGGGGTTTACCCTGTCTCTCAGGCACCTGAGCCACGTCACTGCCTCCACATGCTTCCTGTCTTACTTCACAACTTTTGAGGGACTTTGGACCTCTAAAATATTAGTCCTAGCCTTGTTTGTGGCTCAGTTTCTATTATATAAAGTCTCAGATTCATCAGGTCTATCTCAGATGTTCTCACAAGATGTGTAATTTATTCAGCTGCATCACACGGCTTCCCATTGGCTGTGAGGAGTTCATGGGCTTGTATCTGGGCTGATGCTTTAGTCATTTTGTTCATCCAGCCTGTTTGTCACTGAGACAAAGTAGGTGAAACACAAGGAGGTTTGCATGTCCAAGGAAGGAAAGAAGCACCTCCAAGATGCTTCAGTAGCAGGAACATCCTCTGCTCCGCGGTGCTGACAGCGAGGTTGGCCCCCTCTTCCCTCAGGTGCAGGGTTTTGATCACACCTGCCGTGCTGTTCCCTGGCTAATCTGGTAGTTTGTGCTCTGTTTTCTCCCCCAAAGCTGCTCTCACCTACAAGTGCACGGGGGACCAATGGACAGTGTACTGCAGGGTGATCCGGGAGAAGAACCTGTGCCAGGACATGCGGTGGTACCAGCGCTGCTGCCAGACCTGCAGAGACTTTTATGCAAACAAGATGCAGCAGAAGAGTTAATGAACCTGTGCCACTTCCTAGAGTATTCCAGCTGTTGGTGTGTAAATCACAGACTAGTAGGTCTGAGTACTGGAACTTCACGAGTTGCTACAACGTGGTGGATCCCAAAGCAAACCCAATGAGACTTGAAACCAACTCTACAGACTGGATACCAAAGTCATCTGCTCATCCACCTGAAAAACAACAACCAGAAAGGGTCATCTCAAGGAGCCAATCCTTTTAGAGTGTTTTGACATCCTTACATTTTTCATTAGTGCTTTTTACTTTAATATATTAAATCACCAGCCACTGGATGGCTTGCTACCATAAAAAGGAAAGGACAAGAGTTGCAAAGTGATCACATATGGTACCTCCATGGAGGAAGGCCTCTGGCAAAGTAATTCAGCAAAGGTAGAGACATTACTAAATCTTTTAATCTTGGCTTTCATCTGATGTTTTCAACTCCCAGCAGTTATCCCTCTGTAGGGTGGGCTTGGAGGGACATGCATAAATGAAAGGCTTAATTTAAAGAGAGGATTTGCTGTAAAAGCTTTTTAAAACTGATAGCAGAGGATGGACATCTCTGAAAATCCTACAGAAAACTCAGTATAATTATATCCAACGTTCCAAGTAATATTTTTAGAGCCACTAATAGGGACTGCTTTTCTTTCTAATTTTAAAAAACAATCCTCTCTCTCTTTCCCCCAGAATAATAGAGTTTCTTTTGTGAAACCTAATTTTTCTCTGGGCTTAATGAGATGGAAGCTTTTTAACAGCCATAGATAGTTGGTTTTTTTTAAACAAGAACCGTTTCAGCCAGAAATCATTCCATCCAGTAGAGCTCAGTGAGGGATTGCTTGGCCTAATTCTAACTTTTAGAAGTCAGTCAGATAATGAGACTTGTTGGTTTTTATGAGGACTGTGAAACTGGATAAAATTGGAACAGAAACTGGATTTGGAACAACCTTTGTGAGAAGGATGTAGTGGGGAGCACAGCAGGTGTCTCCTGTCTCTGGGCTCTTGAGCACAGCTGAGGTTATGTAGCCTTTTGAGTCAAAAGTAGTCAGGGATACAAGACATTCAAAGTGTAACTTGGAGCTCCTGAAAGCCCTAAGGTTCAGACTTCCATTGCTTTCAGTAAGGGCTGGGAATTCCCTCAGTGATTGGAATGCTCCCTGTCCCGCTGTTGTGGTGCTGTCAGGTTTGGTGCTATCAGAGCACTCAGCAAGTGCCTCCTCCACGTCTCTGCACTTTAAACCAAACTCCTCTCTGTGATGTGAGGCTTGAAACAGGAGCTCTGCCCAGGTCAGGGTCTGTCCCCTCCCTTGTCACACAGATCAGTGTCTCCCTATCACGTCTTGCTCCAGTAAGTATCATTTCCCGTGCCAGGGTCCGAGGCCAGTGGGGCCGTGGTCAAGTTTCAGCCCCTCCTCCTGACAGGAACAGAGCCCTTTGGATAATTGCAGCTTTGTACTCGCTCTAGAACTGCCTGGGACTGTTTTACTCCTGGGATCTGAGCACAGAACCAAGCCCAGCTACTCCTCCAGCTCCTGGATTGCAGCTCCCACCTGGCCCCAGGTTGTCTTTGTTGCTGTTGTCTCTTTTTTTCAGTGCAAAGAGGGGTAAAGACTCTTAGTACCAAACATATCTTTAGAGCAACTTTTTCCTCCTTATGACAGTCCTTTCCATATCCAGGACCTCACTGCAATAATACATTATTAGCATTTTATTAAGGGCTAAATTTTTCAAGCACAGGAGGGGGATAATGTTCATCACAGACTAACACAGTGTGGGCTTCACATTTGCATTTCTGCTTATTAGTGCAAATTGAGTGTGTGTGCACAGCAGGGCTGGCCTGATGCACAAAGGCACCTTTGCACACCCTTTTTTTCTCGAGTGCCTGTCTCAAACAAATCTGCTTTCCAATGCCTCAGATGATTTTCTCTGTCAGGGAAATGATTCCAGCTTGGTTTTTATTATACTGGGTGTTTTTTTGGCGACTTATAATCAGGATCAGACCTCCTTTTTCTGTTATTCCCACCCTGTCACCCAAACACAGAGGTTGTGTAACTACTCAGTGAGTAATCAGTGGAAAATGTTGCTGGCAGGGGTGACAGGGAAGATTTAGGCAATACCGGGGTGTTGTTCAGTGGGGCAAATTAGCAGGTAGAAGAACTGCTAAGGAGAAAGTTCCAAGAGATCAGAGCCCAGAGGACCTGGTTTATATTGGTAATTCACAGCAGTATTTTCCCCTTTGCCTGCAGTGACTCTGGGACTGTCCCTGCTGCCTCCCTGCCACCACAGCCACCTCTGGGTCCCTTTACATCCCTCACTCAGTTTGGAGTTTGCTGTTTTTCTCTTAATGGGCAACATTTGCCCATGAAGTGGCCCAGCCCAATAAAATGCCACCCCTGTGCTGAACATTTGTGGCATTAGGAACACTCAGGTTGGGCTGGTGAAGGATTTGCCATTGGGTTTCTCTGCTGTCTTGGCAGAATAACGTGTGCATTTATCATTACTGGTGATCAAAGGTGCTTTTCAACAGCAGGGAACATTTTCCTTCTGGTGCTGCTCTGTCACCCTCTCTAGGCAAAGGTGGGCTCCTGGAGAGGTGCATAGGAGAAGGAAGGATCTTAGTTCTTCTGTTTTTCAGTAATAATTCACTTCTGGCCATTGTCCAGAGCAGGATACAAAGCTGGTTAGACCTGTGGCCTGTCCCCATCTCCTGGGTTCTGGACCCAAAGGACATTTGGATCCGAGTTCTGGGTCTTACCTAAGGAAACATGAATTTACAAGGAATTTTTTCGACTGTCTGAGCACTGAAAAAACCACCTCCCTTGCTCTCACAGATTAGCATGCATCAACCTTTTATGTTTTATAATCAAACCCCAACATTAATTAAAAACTGGTGGCACAACACAGCTCCATTTTATTCCATTCTCTTACATCATAATGGTGACAACCTTCCCATGTTATAATAGCCAGAAAAATAACAATAACAAATTTAACTCTGTTCAGTACTCCTGCACTTCTGTTTTGTATCATTTTATAGGAGCTTTGCTATGAATTCACAGCTCTGCTCTGCCCTCAGTTACCACATTCTGGTGAAAAGAAAAGCTGTTTGTTTCAGTGTATCTATGACAATACTTTTTTTTAGTTGTTGGTAAGAGTCTGATGCTCTTTTGATTACAGTGGTGGTATTTCCATATTGTAAACAATACTCTGTACTGTTACTAAAGTACTGTACATTTCTAGTTGCACAATTGTGTTATTGAGTGTAGATTCTCACTATCTCATGTATGGTGCTATTTTTTGTTGGTGGAAAAGAATCTTAGCAGTCGATTATTGCTTGATATTTTATTATAATACAGGGATATATTCTCCATGGCAATAATATCATGTAAGTTTTCTCATTACAGAGTGAAATGTATATATTTTTCCATTAGCTACTTTGCATATGTACTGTATCCATGGTAATTTTCTTCTTGGTGCTGGTTATAAATAGAAAAGATAAAAACAGTCAAACTGAATGGAACCAGTTGTAAATGAAAGCCAAAACAAAAAAATAGGAAAGAGGATCATTCAATTTTGAACAAATTAAGTATGTTGTATAATAAATTTATTTTTTCCATAACAACTTTAATAAGGTTTCTGAACTTGAAACAAAAGTACAAAGCAAACCAAACAGCATGAAAATTAAGAGAGAGGAGTGAAGCTGTAAGTAAATACATTGTGCATCTGTCTAATACTGGACTGAGACTGGGATTTGGTTAAATCTAAGCCAACTTCAGTAGCTGTGGTCAGTGTAAAAGGTCATGTGGCAGTAAAATTCTGACATCTCAGAGTTCCCAGTGTGCTGACAAATCAGGAAATGGTGGGTCTTGTCCTGGTTAGGCTGCAAAATAAAGCACAGGGATGTTAATACCTGAATGATGCCTTGCAAGGTCTGTGCTCAGTGACACAACAGTAGAAAATTCCTGTCTGGAAAAAGCAGGCCAGGCTCTGTTTGGGATATCCCTGTGCGTGCCTGAGCTGGAGCTTGCGCTTGGGGAGAGGGACATTTTGGAGGTGCTTTTGGGAAAGGTGGTTCTCCATGTGTGCAGCACCTTGCTGTGTGTTTGTTGGGAGCAGCTCCACAGGCACCACCTAATAATGAACAGTGCTGAGCATGTGGAAATTTATATTGGAGCAAAAGTGTCCCATCTGTTGGGAAGGTCTCTCCGTAACCTGGCTGCACACTGCCCTGGTGTGAAATAAATGGAATTACTCCAGTGCCAAGTGTTTTGGGTGTCTTTGTTGTAGGCACTAGGCGGAATCTTTGTGCTGTTTAACTTCCCCCCAGCATGGTAATGATGTTTTTTGCAGACAGCTGCACAAAGCTACACCTTTAAGATCCTCTCCCATTCCAGAGATGCCATTGTCTGTGTCCCAGTCCAGCTCAATCCTTGTTAAAAGGACACTTCTTGGAGATGGGAGCAGCATCTTCCTAAAGGACCCTTAAAGACTCAGGAATATGGTTGAGTTGTGACTTGGCAGTGCTGGGTTAAGGGTTGGACTCGATGATCTTAAAGGTCTTTTCCAACCTAAACCATTCCGTGCTTTTATAACAAACCAAAGCACAGTTGGTGTGAGAGTCCTCCCAAAATGACTTCCAGAAATGGAGTCTTTGCTTACTTTAATAACGGAGCTCATTTACTGATCTCACACTGGCTTCTTTGTCATGGCACTACATGGATCAGCTTCCTGGTTTTCTGAGGCAGCCTTAGGAGACACCAGGCCCTGCTGCCATCACACACAACTGTTCACAGCAGCAAAAATCCTGGAACTCCATCCAAGTGTTGCTGTACATTAACAGATCATCGTGTTTGTGCATTGCCTGGAGTCAACATCTGATTGCAATTGTTGACCTGTTTGAACAATAAAACGTAGCTCCAAGCCCTTGGAAGCCAAAAGGCTTTACATTAAGCTGGGATATGGCAATGGGAGGGAGGGGTGTAAGGAATGCTGTCATACATTTGGCTTGAAATGTTCCTGGTATGTGCCAATATCTCATCTATAAATCCAGTAGGCTTATGTACTTAGTTTGCCTATTTTGCATGTAGCCATTTGCTGTTTTTCTCTTATTCCTAATCCCCACCTCCTACCCAAGCCATTGCCCTTCCCTGTGAGCTCAGTTGGTTTATTTATTTAAGACACCTCAGCCAAGATCACTAAGGGCAGGTGGGCTCAGATGGCTCCAGTGCTCTGGCATAGAAGTACCAGGAGGAAAGTATAATCTCTCCTCTGCTCCTTAGAGGTCATTTCTGCCTCCACCAGCTCCACCTGCTCCCTCCACTCTCCTGCAAGTCCTGGTGTCCACGGCAGCCTCGGCTGCAGGACCCTGCTTTCCCTGGGAGGAACTTTCCTTCCAAAAGGCTCAATATGGAACACTTTATCCTGCCATCAGCCCCGTGCTCACCAGGAGCGCTGCTGCTGGAGGACTCTGCTCTGCTGGTAGAGTGAAAACTGCATGTTCCTTTGTGCTTCCCCCAACACCACATGGTCCATTTCCATCAGGAAAGGAATGTTTTCTTCTTGCTGAGGAGTGTCAGTACAAACACCAATGTGCTGTGGAGTTCCAGGCAGAGGAGAACTGTGCCAGATGTGCTCACATTCAATGCACTCACACTTCTGACAGTGGAAGAAAAGAAGCCCTGGTGACCTCCTTGCTGGCAAGTTGTTTGTCTCACTTGTCCTGCTGCTGTAGGAATACAGTGCTCCCAGAAACAGGCAGGCTGTGGGAGCTGCTCCTGAACAGCATTTCTTCTTCAAGAACTTGGACCTGTGCTGAACACGTTTGATTGCACTTCTCTAAACCACTTGCACTTCAGCTTCCTCCTGGTTATCTTGACTTGGAGGCAGGTGAGTAAGAAGACAGGAGTTCCTCAAGTGCTGCCAATGCACAAAGATCAGTTTTCTTTTCTGTGTGCACATTTTTTTTTGTCATGTCTCTGACTTGTCTTTGCACTCTTTAGAAATGGGCCAGGCTGCCTGGAGAGAGACTTCCCGACAACAGAACTGCCCTGGACAAGCAGGACTGAAGCATCTTCATTTCAGATGGGAGGAATTGTTTGTTTATAAAAGGAGAGTTTGAACAAGAGACTGTGTAAGTGGGGAGGGACCACCAATTCCCCCTAGCAGTAACTACCCTGAAGGTGATCAGAG